GAAGATGTTACTATCAGGGACATATGTTTCCAATAATGCTAGAAAATGGCGACAGCTGACTGGGAATCCATACATGGTAGCTCGAATGGGCGCATACAACCCGCTGCTTCTCAGATCACCCTCCCAACGTCCAAGACGTAACTAGTCATACGGGTTCACCATCCCTTGGGTTGTGAGTAAACCCAACCAAAACATCTGAAATCTGGTGGAGGTAACTTCCTCCTGAGCTTAGCCAAACGGTTCCTCACAGTAGGAGCAGCTGCGAATTATTCCTAATATGTTATTTTCCGATTTCAATTAACTATTAAAACTATTCTTAATCCGCATTTCATGATAATTACAGTCTAAACAGGAAATTATTCCTAACAGAGGACATCTACGAATCATTCCCCCCCTTCAGCATAAAAAACCTTCTCTGTGCATCTTGTTCTAGAGATATTAGTCCCTCAAATCTTTAAATCTGCTCATTAGTTCCTCGAAGGGGTGCTGCAATTTTATCCCTCAATGATCAATATTCCCCTCGGTTATGAATTCTCTCTTAAAACCCATACTGTTCAAAAAAGAGTTCTTTGCAATTTGATACCCTAAAGTGTACACTTTTTCAAGTTTAAATGCCCCAAACTCTTTTTTGGACACATCAATACCCTAAAGTTACACATTTTTTTAACTTTTATACTTAAGTTTTTTCTAAGACTTTCGTTATGACGAAGTTTATATCTTTCTGACTTTGATACCTAAACTTTTATTTTTGACACTTTGATATCCTAAAAGTTACAAATTTTGAAACTTTGAGTTATCAAAGTAAAAAATGCGTAAATTTTGGGGTATGAAAGTTAGAAATGGGGTAAATTACACTAGACACCTATGAACTTTTAGTCTTTGCACTAAATCCCCATAAACTTTCAAAATCACACTAAACCCCCAATAACTTTTGCATAAAACTCCCAAACATAACACAATTACATTTGACATGGCACGAGCACCTCAAATGACTTAGAAAGGTACCCCTTAACTCAATTAAAATTCCATTTATGACATTTTTTTATATTTTCCACCCTTTAAACAAAATTCTCTTATTTTTTCATTCGCTCTTCTCTAATCTACGCTCGCACCCCAGGTTGGGTTTCAAATCCTTTTTTCTTTTTACCTGAAAATTTCATGCAAAACTTAAGATTTGTGCTTCTTTATGTTGTTTTCCGTTCTAATATTAGAAAAGTAGTTTTCTTTCATAGTTTTTTGGGGAGATGGTTTCTTCCTTAAGCATGTTTAGCAACAGGAAAGTAAATTGAAAGTAGAAAGTGAAGAGAAAGTACCTTCTTAAGAAAATACTTTTTTTTTATTTTTGGTTGTAAATTTTGCTTGGATGATAGAAAGTGAAATAATGCAAAGTTGACATGGCAGTTGACGTGGTATCCACTATGTACATGGTTTAAAAGGAAATTATAAATACAAAGTTATTTAGTTGTTTATATACTCAAATTTAAAATTGAACAATTTTCTATTCACCATGACATATTCCACCAGCATTCTAGTGCAATCTAGTCCTAAGTAGTTTGTATAAGGATAATCAAGTTGTAAATTATCAAGTTATTAACTGTATATAGTTAAAACAATTTTATTATTCATCAAGTTTATCAAATTATATAGTCCTAAGTTTGTATAATGTTTATCACATTCTTAATTGTATATAATTAAAAGAAGTTTATTATTCATCAATATTACCAAATTATTATAAGCATGGATGTATTACTTACAAAATGGATGGAAGAAGGCTCAAGATGTGACTGACTAGAAAACATTATAAAATTTGATTGGAAAGTGAATTAGTTGTAAAAAATAATAATTAATAATTATTTTCTCGGTCTTCTAAATCCACATTCCATCCAATTTCTTTAGTTTTTGGATAAAGTAAAAAAAGGCTAAAAGGCCGATGTGACAGCCACTTTCCATTTACCTTCGCTATGAGAAATACTAAACAGTAGAAAGTGGAGTTACTTTTCATTTTTGGTCTACTTTCTATTCACGTTCCAGTTGCCAAACACACCCTAAAACTCATAGAAGTTAGGAGATGCGTTTGTGTTTTGAGAGCCATCACACGTGTATCTAATACTATTATCGAGCTATTAATTATGATTAAAAGGTAATTTATGTCCAAGTTAGCAACAATAAACAACGCAAGCCACGTGAAAACCCATGTTCAATATCTTAAAATTCTCTTTGGTTGGTGAAAAATATTCAAAAACCCTGACTGTATGTACAAAACTTACCCCATAATACAGGTGCACCCATAAATTCTCTTTAGATCATGGAAAAGAAATAAGATTTTTAATTTTTTTTTAAACTAGGGTTTTTGTAGGCTTTACCTCACTTCAATAGAAGGAATATGAACCTCCTCCTTTCAACGACAACCTACTCATCCATTCAATAATTCCATACTAGTCCCCCAGAGCTAAGAAATTTCTCGTTAGTCCCTCAAATCCTTGGGTTATTACAATTTGGTCCCTCGATGACCCATACCATAAACTAATGTTTTTCTACAGAAAAGCAGATAGGTGTGACCTATGTATCCCCATAGTCCACAATGGTTAGCAATTATACCTTTAAATACTAAAACCTGCATAACAGTTTTAACTCTATATTACATATGACAATTTATTGAAATATGTCTTATTCTACTGCTTAAAGTACACATTGTAGACGATGCATTCAAAATAGCTACAAGAAGAGTTAAATTATTTTCTTTCACAAATGAAGGTTGAAAATTTTTATATGTTCTAAATATGGATAACCAAGTCCAGTTTTTGTGCCTCATATTTATCTGCATCTCATCCAGGTATGCTTGTGGCCTTACATATCTGAGTGATCAGAAATGGGTAGATGAGATAGCTGCTTTGCCTGTATCTTTGGGTTAGATAATCTCGTGAAGTGGTGGTTGTGGTGCTCATCCAGGTATAGATAACCTCTACAACATCAAATCACTATCTCGTAGCAATCTAGTATAGTAGGAGAAGGTCCCGGTAGCTAATATTTGTATACGAGGAACTAGGGTACTTGTCAAGCTTAAGGAAGAGATTGAGAAAGATAAACTCATTCTTAAGTGTACATGAGTTCAGAGTCCCTCTAGTGTGGGCCCGCATACAAAGATACTTGACCATTCAATTGTAATCATCGGATGTGATAGTCAGACCAATAACAACTCTTCTGAACTTAGGGCAATCTCGAGGGGGGTTTGGTAACCCCAAGATATGCTGGATGATCCTGGGTGTAATTGTGACAAGCACTCCCTTAACGGTCGAAAATGACTTGAACTCATCATCATCCGATTGGGTCTAGTCGCGAAAGAATTCCTTAACAATAGTAGAGTTGGCCAATTCATGTTTTTTGGCCATCATACTATTTTGGTTCTCTTCATTTTCAATGGCGGATGTGAAGTTGTTGTTCCTTTCAGAGTTGAATTTCGGAGACAAAGAATCAAGCGGGGTTTTTAATTGCTCTGACACTTTAAACTTTAGGCTCATTAACTGAATTTAGGAATTAACACTTAGCAATATCTCCTCAGCAGTTGATGTGTTGGTAACCATGCAAAGTATAAAACTTTCTGATAATATGAAGGATGGGTAGGAGAAGGGGATGAAATAAAGAGAAGTTATGATCACCAAGAGGAGTTAAAGATAAATCCATGTTCTTGATAAGATAGTAAGATAGTAA